TTCTTGCATCCAGATAGCACGTGCCCTGATGGCTCCCACCAAAGTAGATCAGGTTATAGACCCTTCTAGAGCCATTGTCATCATCAATCATTAGTTGGCATAGAGCATGTTGTCTTCGGTCCTTGCTTTCCCTCTCTGAGTTGGAGCTTACCTTCTGACACTGATGTTGGGCCTGTGTTTGGGGTTGATTTCTCCACATGCATCATTCCTGCACCAAAATCTGTCTGCCCTTTACCCTGTCAGTATTTTTGTCAGTTTGTTATCACCCTGTAAGATGTTTGCAGTTCCTAAAACTTAATGTGAGCTTAGTTACTCTCTATATGAAGGTAGACACAGTGTAAGTCCTTCGAATGCAACTAAATGAAACAGCTCTGACATTTCATCAGAAAAGGCTGATTCCGCCCTACTGGTGTGGCTCAGTGATTCAGCATCAACCCATGAACCAAGAGGTCACAGTTTGATTTCTGGTCAGGGAACATGCCTGGATTGTGGGCTCAGGGATGTCCAGGAGGAAGCTAGTCGATGATGTTTTTCCTCATCAATGTTTCTCTCTATCCCTCTCCCTTCTTCTCTCTCTAAAAATCAATAAAAGGGGGTGCTGATTCTTTTGTTAGCTTAGGGCAGGGGTCAGCAGACTTACTGTAAAAGTACAGGGAGTAACTTCATCTTTTGAGCCATATTGGTGTCTGTCACGACATCTTAGGTCTGCTGTTTATGTGAAGATGGCCTGGACTTGTGAGCAATGGGTATGCTGGTTCCAATAAAACTACCTGTGAAATTGGAATTCCATGCGTCACAAAATGGTATTCTTGTTTTGATTTTCTTTCAACCAGTAAAAATTCAAGTAGGTCCTTCGCATGCAGGCCGCAGGGGAGCAGGCTGCTGTGCTTGCTCACCTGCCCAGCAGGTATGACCTCCAAGGCTACAGCCACAGTTCAGCAATGTCTGTGCTGGAGGGTGACTCACTGCCCTTCTTAGCCCCCAACTGAAGAGTGGCCTCAGCCCTCATCATGACACTGCTGCCCATGCCAGTCCAGGTTTACAGCCGGAGACCTTCGCCACCTCATTTCCCGGCTGTGCTCCGCTGTCCAGAGCTTTGCAGACACTTGGTCCTATTCCTGCGAAGGCAGAGCTTGGAATAGGGGCCCAGTGGAAAGGGGCGGGGGGTGGGGGGGCGGCAAGATGAGGAAAGGCCCGTGCTGGTTTTCACAAGTGATCTTCCCTGGATGCCCCAAATCAGCACACAGAAATTTTAGGAGAGAAGAAAAAACAAAAACCCATCAGTCCTTGAGATATTTCCAAAACCACAGAAAACTCAACTGTATGCAATCAGGGTGGGGGCTTGATTTGGTTTGGGGTTGGGTGAAATGCCCTCCAGGAAGGAGGCAGCTGTATTGGTTGAGGCATTTCCCCTGGCGTGAGACCACTTTACAAGGAGGCCCCTCCAAGGCCCCACAGCCTCACCTGGAAGGAGCCCCCTACCCTCTCACTGCTGCCAGTTTAATTATTAGCTGTAGGTTTTATTAAAACTTGAAAGACACCCAAATTGTAGTTAGGTTTCACATTGCAACTGATCTCCACATATCCACATGGTATTTCCAGCTTTTGGCACCCTTCTGGAAACATGGGATAGCAATGGACTTGTCGAGGAGGCAATTTTTCCTGATTCATTTTGAAAGTGAAAAGCCACAGGGCTGGTCCTCCAACTCATCAGAAGGCAAGGGTGGTCCTGCTTCCCAGAGGGTCATTTGGTCTTATCCTCCCCTCAGCTTCCTCAGTGAGAAGCAGGTCTGTGAGGCAGAGCGGGGAAGACATCCATTCTCAGGCACCAGAAGCTGCTTGCCGCTGGGAGAGCCATAGAGGGCCATGTATAGTTTCTAGAGTGAAGGCCATTGAGCCCGGACAGAGAGACCTGGGCTACAGGGCCAGGACCTAGGAGCAAGACCGGCTCAAGGCTGTGCTCCATGGCCCTGACTGCACATCCAGGGCTCCTGTGGATGTGGGCACACATCCTGAAGCTGTGGCTGCCATCCTATCACACACAGCTGCTGCCCTAAGGTACCAGTACCACAGGATCCTCCAGCACATTCTCCCATTGAGTCTTAAGCAGCACCTGCTCCTCAGGGCCCTTGAATTTTATTCACCATCTCTTATCCCCACCTCTGCCCCTTCCTATCAGTCTGTAGGCAGAGGTGGTCTCTGGAGGCTTTGAGGCTTTGCCTGATCTAATTAGTCAGAAACAGTGTTTTACACTGTCCTGCACTAGATATTGAGAGGAGAAGGAGGTCTATGTAAAATACATAGTCACAAACCCAACAGGCAGCCAAAAGGAGGAGACAGAGAACCCGCAAATGAAAGAATAAGAGAATTCTCCAGAAGAAGAGCTAAATGAAATGGAGATAAGAAATGTATCTGATATAGAGTTTAGAGTAATGGTGGTAAAGATGCTCAACAGCATGAGAAAAAAATTTATTAACTATGAAAACAAATAAAGAACGACATAGCACAAATAAAGAACACATTGGAAGGAATACACAATAGACTAAGGGAAGATGAGGATCAAATCAGTGAATTAGAAGACAGGATTGAAAAAAATCAGAGAACCATAAAGAAAAAAACAAAAAACAGGAGGAGAGCTTAAGGGAGCTGTAGAACAATGTGAAATTCGAATAGCAGGTTTGCCCGAAGAGGCAGAAAGGGAGAAAGGGACAGAGAACATGTTTGAAGAAATAATGGCAGAAAATTTCCCTGACCTGGTAAAATCCTGGGGAGGGAAGTGTCCCTTCTGCTCAAGCAGGGTCATGTTTCCTAGATGAGTACAGGGCTCTCGCCCATGGTATGTTTGCAGAAGCCCAGCTGGATGCAAAGGAGGGTTTGGGCCTGGTGGGTGTCCCTGGATGTGCACCAATGGCTTGAGGCTGCTGTCTTGTGGGGGTCTCCTCCTTTGCATACTCTCAACTGCCCCACTGCCTCAGCGCTCCTTTTGTTCCATGTTCGGCACATGCAGCTGCTGCTGGGAAGTTAATGAGGCCAGCCCATGTCCAGAGGCTCTGGGGCAGATGCCCTGGAAAAGGGGGAGCAGCCATTGCTGGGCTCCTGCACCATGGGGATGAGGACAGACACAAAGCACAGCCTCATGAGGTCCCTGGGATACAGTAGCTTGGGCCTTGGGCTGCATTTTCCAATGGAAGTGATGTGCCAGAGCAGCGGTCACCAACCTTTCGGACCTCACGGACCACCGGTTGGCCACCGCTGCTCCAGAGGGTGGTTTGGTTCTGAATGTGGGACAACATTGAGACCCTCCACTAGGGAGTGAAGATTAGAAAAGAGGATGATGGGAGCGGGTCAGACAGGGCCCATTCCTAGTACCCACTAAGTGCTTCCTCTGAAAATCAGATGTTCATGTCTGCTCCAATGCTCAGAGGGTCCCCAGTAGGAAGGTCTGTTTACTCCTCTTATAGGTGAGGGGACAGACAGTTGCACCCGCCCAGGGTCTGTGCTTGAGTCTCTGGCAGCTTCTGTCCTCTCTACACGCTAGGTCCTGACTGCTCAGGAGAGCGAGCCTGCAGGGTGGACAGTGGTGAGAAGGAAAAGGGTCCCAGGTTGTGAGATATGGCCAGGACAGGCCAAAGCTGCTCAGGGTGCACATACATACCAGACTCTACAGGTGCAAACCCACCTATTCAAGGACCATCTCAGAGTAAACTAGTTTCCTACCAGAGGTGGGAGCTGCCTGCTGAACTCACACAATGCCTTTCTTTCCAGTGATCTTATCCATGTGGGACATGGCCCTGACAAGGTAGGAGCA